ATGAAGTTCTAAACATGCCTGACGAGTCCCTTAAGCAAGGACGAAACGCGTCGTGTGATGCTCTGAATTTCGAGTCTTGAGTTATCTCTTTATACTAATTATTACGAATTGGGTCTTTACCTCTCAGTTTTATTGAGTAGGTTTCGATTCTACTATGTAATAATAAATTCTAAACATGTCCGTACAGTCCCTTAAGCAAGGTCGAAACGAGTCGTGTCGATGCTTTCAATCTAACATTTCTTAATAATAATTTCGTACTGTAGCTTAAATTCTTCTTTTACAAGTGAGTTTCGACTTCTTGTAATACTGAAGATTCATCTTGTTTTGGATTTTGTCCTTATTTGAACTTAATTCAGAATAGATTAAGCCATCTGAGAAGTCCTCTAGTCAGGACGAAACCGGTCATGGCAGTTCAGAGATGTTATTGAATCTTCACTACCTCATTTATTTGAGTGAGTTTTGGTTTATTATGTAATTATAAGTTCTAAACATGCCTGATGATAGACCCTTAAGCAAGATCGAAACGCGTCGTGTGATGCTCTCAATCTCAAAACTCTTTTATAATTAAATGTAATATTAAGATATCCACCTGACGAAGTCCCGCCATGGACAGAAACAACTGTTGTCGTGGAACGGCGATTATTTCTTATCACACCCAACATATGTGAAAGAAATCTTTGATAAATTTGTTCGAAATTTTCATCAAAATAAATTTTGACTTAGATAGTCGTCTAAGACTTTCTTAAAGTTAAATTTATTTGAAAATTTTATATGTGCAAATGTCTTACATTAATTATTACATTGAAAGGTAGTTCAAATGTTTATACAACTATTTCTCGAACTACTATCTAAGTAGATGTAATATTAAGATATCCACCTGACGAAGTCCCGCCAAGACAGAAACAACTGTGGTCGTGGTACGGCGATTATTCCTTTTCACACTCAACATATACTTTTCTCTTTATACAAACTTATTCCGAACTATCGAATCAATCGCCCAAGAAAAGTAGAATCGTGTCATGTGATGCTCTCAATCTCAATTCTTTGTTATACAATTATTGAGTTTTATCTTTCTTTATTTAATTACATTTACGCCATAGCTTCCTCAACTTTTCGTATGAGTTTCGAGTTGCATCAAATTCTTATGAAATTACTAATATTCCTGACAAGGACCATTAAGCAATGTCGAAATCCGGATCGTGTGATGATCTGAATTTCAATTCCTTATTATTAAATTATTGCAAAATATCGACATCATCGTAGTTTTAAACACTACTCCTAAATTTTTCTATCATTAATTTCGAGTAACATTATAGAATCAACTTTGTTTTGAATTTATTTTTCGGAATTTCTTTCGTTATGAGTGCCATTGGAAAATTCTCGTTGTTGATATAAAATATCAATATCATGGTAGCTTTATACACTGACACCCACGCCCGACACCATAGATAATCCAAGGTAACATATTTATATCATTGATATTGTCATATTATGCGCAGGTATTATTGGAAGTCTTCGGACATTTGACCAATAGTAATGCCATAGTGGGAGAATTACATTTATTTTAACATCTTCAATCATAAGCAACTGTTAAGTTTAATCTTAGCACTCATCGAAACGCGTCTTGTTATGTATTGATTGATACTACTTCAATCATTCTACATACACACCCACACGCATACTCGCATTACTCGTTCATCTTCATTTTTACCAGTGCAATCCTTCGTCTTCGGGTTCCTCTTCGTCTGGAACAATGAACAAGTGATCATTAGGACGACCGGACGTTGAAAAGTAAAAGTTGGGACTAGCAGATCGATTTGTATTCCAAGTGAATAGAGTTTTTATCTGTTCCTTAATTAACATCCTGTTTTTTTTTGATTTATTGATTAAAGCGCTAAACAGGTAGAAAAAATCTCAAATATAAAATAAAATTCAAAAGTCATGATGAAAATGAAGTATGAAACTTCACTTCTTAAAAACACCAGATGAAGCGTTCACTGATGCTTTTGCCATCTCAGTGATCGTTTTGATGAGCCTATTAATAGCTTCCTGTACTTTATCTGCTTGTTCACTGGTCCAATCACCTGCTCGACAATAAAAGGCCAAACATTCACAATTATTCGATAGCAAATCATATTTGTATTTATCCGCTTCTTTCAAAGCTTTTTTAGCACGGCTGACTGTTTCTTGGCGTTTCTGTTCGTTGTCATCATCATATCTGATCAAATAGAGTGGTCGAGTCTTTATACCAACTAAACTGGGACTACCAGCCACAAAGGCAGGGAGTGTTGTAGTTTGAATTTTAGCGGTATTTTTGTTCTCTCCCCAGAAATGAACTATTTCCATACGTCCCGTATTGTCAAGAACAATTCCATGATGATAATGGTTGCCGGGACCATCTTCGCCTGTTGCGATGTGAGCACCGGGATACAACTCTTTATCGGACTGACAGGACCAATCTAGTAAGCGCGCGCTTGATGGCTTTAAATCAACATTGAGAGCCTTCAAAATGTTTTTCTGGTAATCTTCTTCTGCCATTGCACTATTTCCCCAATAGTGTACGCTGTTGGTATAAATATTTTCCGATATCTGAAATTAGATAGTATATATTACCAGCATCGATATCACTGATTTACTAGCAGTTTCCAATGGAAGCAGATTTTTAAGACACTGCTATTACTAAATAACAACGGTACGATGCCTTTATCTCACGTAGCCCTTCCTTCGAAGCAAATAAGTCACGATATATATATATAGATATATATACTTAGGGCATACCAAAAGTTCGTAGAGTGATACCTTAATACCTTATGATAAGCTCTAAGTAACTTTCTTTCTATACAGTTTGATAGAGAAAAAAACGATCTATCTTTCTATGCTATTTGATCTTACTTCAACTAATATAATAATATTAAGTAATCTATAAAACCTAATTCGGTTGGTTATGTGCTGGTTGTATTAATACTCTTTCTAAAAGAATATGAGTGAGTATTTTTTGAATAACTTTTGATAGAAGTAAGATAGAGAAGTGCGGTTTTCATCATTCAAAAGAGAAGATGAAGACGCATCGAATCGTTTATTTCAGATTTTTCTAATCTGTTTTTAGTAGGATTTTCAATTGACCTTTTTAGGAACAAACTTATTTGGCAAGTTGTTGACAGTGAATTTTCAATTGTCAATTATAAATTCAAAGCATTAATCGAAGATCTACAAAGTGCGGAAGGCTAAGATGAATAATATGCATTCTAGTCGAACTCTAATATGATTTTGTAGCAAACTCTATGGAAAAAGCTAGCTTTTGTGCTTTATCCGTTTTTTCATAAAAAAAACATTTTTCCGACAGTTACCAAATTGAATTAAAATACTTGAGAAATCAATATTAGAAAGACCTGTAATATTTGATTTGATGCATCTTCGTTTCCTCTTTCTAACGGTAAAAACCGCACTTCTCTATCTTATTTCTATCGAAAGTTATTCAAAAAATACTCACTAACAATCATACAACGAGCACATAACCAACCGAATTAGGTTTTATAGATTACTTAATATTATTATATTAGTTGAAGTAAGATCAAATAGCATAGAAAGATAGATCGTTTTTTTCTCTATCAGACTGTATAGAAAGAAAGTTACTTAGAGCTTATCATAAGGTATTAAGGTATCACTCTACGAACTTTTGGTGTGCCCTAAGTATATATATCTATATATATATATTGTAGCCGCCATGGCTGCATCGTTACGTTGTTGAACACGTATTCACAAGATACTGTGATCAAGCATCATTACTATCATCCACGGAATGACATTGAACAAGTCACTAACAACTAGTTCTTTCGGATGACTCATTCAATAGTGTATTGATTACGTCGTTTGTCCCTATACAGAGTCGGAAAAATACCCAACATTGATGTCACTACCCTGTGGTACTCATGTTGACCACCGGCCCTACATAAATATGGAAAAGCGTTGGGCGGAAAGGGGTGCAGATACCGCCGTCCGGAAAAAGAAAAAGACGATAGAGACTGGCACATGTGGACTCTCGTGCCGACTCCACCGGTTGATAAGCCTATGGAAGCTATTATTATTTATATATATATATTGTGTAGAACTAAGGAACATTGAACGATAGAAAATTCCAACAATAGTAGGATAGTAAAATCATGAGCAGTATAGGAAAACAAACTGATACTAATAACGTCCACAGCAATGAGTGATCATACATACGTACATAAAGAATATGTAGATGTGGGTATAGGCCAAACAGGCATCAACACATACCCTTTCTTGAAAAGTGATATCTATATCTATATATATATCTATATATATATATATATAGAGAGAGAGAGAGAGGGAGAGAGAGAGAGAGGATATCACTTCGTTTGAACAATAAAACTCGAGTTGCATTTAGCTCGAAACTTTTGTGTTTGAACTCCACCCAGGTCGAGCTTCAAACTCGAGTTCAAATTTCGAGTCTAGTTCGATATTATCGTGTTGAAACGGTTTGGGTTTGGCCCACATCTAATTAGTCTAAAATCAAACAACATGCAATTGAAACAGCACAAAAAATGGACTGCATCAATATTCGTCTTGTCACGCAAGAGAGTCATCCTTAAAAATTTCTTATTAGAGTCATTATTGAACACAACTTATAAGCCTAAACTCAACAAAACAAAGCATTTAACCTCATTAATCGTTTTGCCTCATGGTGTAATGGATGTATTGCTACCCAAATCAATCAATAGTGATTCTTTCGAATATGAACACTATGATCTTCTTTTTGGTGTTCGTTTTTATTCTTCTTTCGTAGCTGCATTAGTTTTATTGTAGACTTCACATACTTTAAAATAAATTCTTGATAACGAGGTGATAGATACCGCGAAACGCCGAACATAAGATACTTTTTTTTCAATTGTATTTGATGTTACATAAAGAAAAAGTGATTCTATTTCGAGCCACTATTATTCATCAGTTTATAGTGAAATTATTTCCCTTAAGAACGCCTAATATTTAGCTGAAATACGTTCTGCTTCAGCTTCATCTTCTTTCATGTATTTCTCAGCATCAGATACCATACGCTCGATTTCATCTTTCGATAATCGACCCTTCTCATTCGTAATAGTAATCTCATTTTGTCGTCCACTTGATTTCTCGACGGCTGAGACATTCAAGATACCATTGGTATCAATATCAAATGTAACTTTAATTTGTGGTATACCACGTGGAGCTGGTGGAATATCAGAGAGTTCAACATTACCAAGAAGATAGTTATCTTTTGTCATGGAACGTTCACCTTCAAACACTTTAATATTAACAGTAGGTTGATTGTCTGTATAAGTAGTGAATATTTGTGTTTCTTTATGTGGAATGGTTGTATTACGCTTGATTAAAACAGACATAATACCTTCAGAAGTTTCAATACCCTGTAATACAGATGAAAAATATTCATTTACGTGAAATATCCTTCAAAATTTTTTCATTATTACTTACCAATGAAAGTGGTGCAACATCGAGTAAAATTACATCTTTAATATCTTCTGACTGCATACCTGTTGAAATAGCAGCTTGTACAGCTGCACCATAAGCAACAGCTTCATCTGGATTGATCGATTTATTTAATTCCTTTCCGTTAAAGAAATCTTTAAGTAATTTTTGTACCTTTGGAATACGTGTTGAACCACCAACAAGTACAATTTCATGAATACTAGCTTTGCTCATTTTCGCATCACGCAATGCTCTTTCAACTGGTGCAAGTGTTGCATGGAAAAGATGAGCGCAAAGTTGTTCAAAACGAGGTCGTGTAATGGTCTCATCGAAATCGATACCTTCATGAAGTGAAGGGATTTCAACTCGAGCTTCTGTTAACGATGATAATGTTTGCTAAAATACAACGAAAAAGAGTTTTTATTGGTTAATCTCATTTAATCGATTTCATTCGATTAACTTACTTTAGCCAGTTCACAAGCTGTACGTAATCGTCGAAGACAACCGCTGTTTTGGGATAAATCTTTATTATACTTTCGTTTGAATTCTTGGACAAAGTGTACTACCATTAGATTATCAAAATCTTCACCACCCAAATGAGTATCACCAGCTGTTGATTTGACTTCAAAAATACCTTCTTGAATTTTTAGTACTGAAACATCAAATGTACCACCACCCAAATCGAAAACGAGGACATTGCGTTCGCTGGATACTTTCTTATCTAGACCATATGCAATAGCAGCAGCTGTTGGTTCGTTAATAATACGGAGCACATTAAGACCAGCAATGACAGCAGCATCTTTAGTGGCTTGACGTTGGGAATCATTGAAATAAGCTGGAACTGTAATAACAGCGTCAGATACTTTGTTACCCAGATACGCTTCGGCCATTTGTTTCATTTTAGCTAGAACCATCGATGATATTTCTTCAGGTGTGAATGATTTCACTTCATTTTTATATTGAACTTGAATCTTGGGTTTACCATTTTCATTAGTAACGTTGAATGGCCAGTGTTTCAGATCGGCTTGAACTGTGGAATCATCGTATGTACGACCAATCAGTCGTTTAGCATCGAAAATGGTGTTGTTTGGATTCATTGCTACTTGATTTTTGGCTGCGTTGCCAATCAGACGTTCGTTGTCGGTGAATGCAACATACGATGGTGTTGTTCGATAGCCTTGATCATTAGGAATAATTTCTACTTTACCGTGTTGAAATACTGCAACACACTACAAAAGGGATGGCATTGTATGAGTACAGTTAATGACCTATATAAAAAAAGACGCGCATCGTAGACTTACTGAGTATGATGTACCTAGATCGATACCAATAGCTCGTGCCATTTCTATTTGCTAGAGTGAATTAGTAGTGTTAGAAGTAGAACGAGTTGAATAAGAATGCGAATCTAAAAAATTCGAATAACTGACAATGACAATTTCGCTTTGTGTATAGCCTTTAAATCCGTATTATCCTTTCCTTTTGATAAAATCGAAAACTTTCTTAGAATACAGTGTTGAGGAGACAGAATGAAAAAAACAAGAAGAAAAAAAAGGAGATACAAGCAAAAATGTTCTACAACATGGTGGAATAAGTGAAACACATTTTTCGATAATTAGTTCTGATCGAAATAAAAGAAATTTTCATTTCCGAAAAAAAAATGCGATTTAAAAATAAATCAATTTATTCTTGAGTGAAAGACAAATCAATTATTTAATATTAACTTTTGCTTTTCAGCAATCGATTATGAATCGAAGCCGAATTAAGATCTAATCAAATTTAGTAACTTTTCACTTGAGATAAAAAGAAATAACGTAAATTTGTGATTTTGCCGACACATTTTGTGTTATTTATTAAAATGTTAAACACTCATCAGGGGTCTGTATTAATAAAAAGCAAAAGCTGAAAAAAGTAAAAGAACAAGCGAAAGTAAGCAGTTAAATAGAATCGTTTTCTTCTTGCATACATGTGTGACCCTCTTTTATTTTGAAGTAGCCATATAAAGGTAACCTAAACAAAAACCTATCTGTTTATAGCAGCCATAAGCAATATTCAAAATAGATCCATGTCTTTTCATTGGTTGCTAGCATTCAATTCGAAGAGATTTTCGCTTTTGTCTTAATTGAACTCCATTCCCCAATGAGGGTATTTCTTGCGAAATTTCTCACGTAGATCGCTTATCAGTTGTCGCCGCACAGCATCATCGGGCTCTTCTCTTATAATCTCTAAGCGAGCAGTTGTATATTCCTCCCATATCCTATCCCATTCCGCTTGTCCTCCCCAAAGACGCTTGATAGAATGCCAAATTGGTTCCGCATTGTTATATAACCACGAAAACGCTACACTCCACGGGACTACAGACTGTGCCATTTGTCAGGATACAACAAGAACCAAGTTAAGCTCAGTTATTGTAGCTGGTTTTCTGAACTGACAGTTTGTTGTGACGGTTATCACACCTTAATATAATAGTGGAAGAACACAGAGATGAAAGAAACAGAAAAAGTGCTGTTGATAAGAGTCATAAATTGCGTTGTAATTATTGCCCTTCCCATGTATGAAATAAACAGAGATATGGTAAGGAAGAAAGGGATCTAGTTACATAGTCATCGGTTGCTCTGTAATTGTTCTGTTTCTGGAGTACCAAGCCAAAGCAGATGACAAAAACAGAAAAGCCCGGTTACCCAAAGCCCCCCCTCAAAATGGCGGAAAATTTAAGAAATTTTTTGTATCTTGTTGATTGTCTCATAGTTACAGAAAAGAAATAGTAATACTCGTCTCTGTGACTCGCTAAACTCTCGACTGAACAAATTCACTTCTTCGTTGAATTCTTGTTACTAGACCTGCTTTTCAATAGCTAGCAGCTGATATTTGCATATGACTATGTTTTATTGTAATAGTTAGTATACGTATACCTATCGTCGTGTCCACAATCGTTCATGCTCTTATGATACTATTTTTGCATCCTATTCATCCACTTAAACTAACGCAGTACGAATATCCACATGAGAATGTTTCACAGATGGACACATCCATAAATATATTTACGGTGTGTTTGAACTGCTATTACACAGATGTGTCTGAGTGCAGTTGAAATGAAGCACGTGTCACGCCTCAACACGATTCTTAAGTACATCCTTTGGTGTTTCTGAGATGCATCTGATTCTCAGCTGTTTAATTACATCTTTAGACACGTCTAGATGCGCCTCGACACTGAATGCGTTTCAACGCGTCCAAGAGTACGGCGAAGAACCCGATGCGTTCAAGCGAATTTCAAAGCTAAACATGCCTAAAGGCGTTGTGCATTAATCTATGAAGGAATTAGCTCCTTTTTCCGTAGATTTGAGTTATGTCAGTATCAAGTTCACATGATAGTCATCTTGTTGCAAAAGCACATTATCAAAAGAAAATTTTGATAATTTTGTCGTGTCACATTTAGTTGTGATCGAAGATAGAACAGAAGCTCTGCGAGTAGTAGTCAACACACTTAAGCTAATCGAAAAGAGTGATCCGATGATAGCGTGACTCCATTTCTAGTTTCGATTTAGGAGTTGAAACGATCAACCGAATATGATCAAAAAGGAGACACCAATAAGAAAAAGTTATCTACGAAAAAATTAAAGACTGTAATGCGAAGAAATGACTGTAATAAAGTATCAGAAAGAGGACGAATTATGTTTCAAGTTACTTTGTAAATTTCTGTAAATTGTCTTATGAAACTCTTAGCTAGTCACCAACATGAAACTGAATACTTTCTTGCGATGTCGCAGAGTAAAAATTACCATCGGTGGTTATAATATAACTCATTTTTATATCATATTACTATTTGTGTGGGATTTATTCGTGCGACGAAACTCCAAGTTATTTTTGCTATGAAAAGAACTCGATGGTTTTGTTTGGACATTGGTTTCTCACTCATCACAATCAGACGAATCAAGAAGTCTTTCTCTCGAAAAACAAAATCGGTTGATTTATAAACAATTTATTTAACTTTTCAAGTCATTGTGCTATAATCTTCTTTAAATAATATTATAATCGAAAAAGTAAATTAATAAATAAGATCATGCTTTTAATCATGAAGATTTATCATTTGTAAGCACTCTTCTTCATAGAAAAGGGAAGTTCATTGAAATAAACGAAATCACAATCTTTCATATAATCGGAATATCAATATAATGTATTCCAATTACAGTTAGTTAACAGAGCGCGAAAACGAGTCCTAGCTAAATCGGTTTGTCAAAAGCAAATACAAACTGCATTGAACTCAAATCCATGAAAGTTGGTTAGGCTTATCCTCTGACTGATCACAATCACTTCACATTTGAGGAGTATTACATCTTTTTGTGAAAAACACTTTCCAAATTGAATGTAAGAAAGAGCGAAGCCAATCAAGAGGGAAATTGCACAACCAAGGATGTAAGATTTAACTACTATCAGGAGTTTAATATTCTGATTTTCGTATGATCTTATATACTGATATATAGAAAGGAAATTTCTTTGGTAACTCCAGAAGAAACATAGAATGATATACTTTTCAAATATTATTTTAAAGCATAGTGATGTGCAGTTTTGGTGCAAAAACTGAAATACTGATACTGGTGTCCCTGACACTGACGTTTAGTGAACGCCGATGCCTTCAGTGTCAGTGTTCACTGGAATTAGGATAACACTGACACTGACGTTCAATGAGTAACCGATGCTACTGACACCAGTGTTCACTGAAGCACTGAGACAGTCGGTGACACTGATACCATCGGACACATCATCTCACTGGCAACGCTGCTCAGTGGAAGATTGACACGCCGATTATATCAGAGTATTCACCTCTTGTACTTTGACTTCTAATCATCCGTGAGAAAAATGTATCACCACGTCCACCTTTATCAAAATATCGTGAATTTAAGGAACCTGTAAACTCAAAAAATTTGAATGGTTTCAACAAAGTACATTAAAATTCTCTTCCGAATACATAAGTGCTGTCTTTTTAACTAGATTTAACCTATCAAGGTTCCATTTTCTTTCGCTATTCTTATGCAATATATACGGCTGCTTTTTTTTTCTTGGAGTGTTGAATAGATATAAAATACTATTTATAAATCTTTAAATAAAACAAATTCAATTTATAAAACATCTTTGTTTTGGACCACAGAAAATATAGGGCGTATTGGCTAGTTCAGATGAAAACAACGTAAAAATTAAAAAGGTTTTCTTGCATATCTGATTCGTCTTAGTTAATGTTAAGATTATGAGACCTTCCGAAAGTTTATTTCATGTCGTAGGGTTAATTAGTACCACTGTGACTATATGAATTGCTATAATTTATTGAATTCATGCAATGTCCTGCAGATACAATATCTCATATGATTTTTTTCAGGCAGCTATTTTGTGTCCAGCTAAACACTTAATTTTAATTTAGTTTCATATTTATTTTCGAAATATTGTTTGTAACATGACACGACGTGATATATTCATAAAAAGCACTTATAAACTATGAAAGCGTGTTTCCTCAGGAGAATTAGAAATGCCATTTTCGATAGCGTGAAGAAGTAACAATTGTTCGCCAACGGATAATAACAATAAGTTAGAAGTGAAAATCTTCTTCAAAACGTATGACTACACAAATATTAAAGAAAAAACACTATTTTGTAAAAATATAATTGAAGGCAATTTTCTAAGATTAACACATATAAAATAAAAGTACGATAGAAAAAGTAGTACATAAAAATGAGAAGGAAGAATGCGGATCGATGAACTATCAAAATATGTGTATAATGAAATACTATTTTAATTGACAGAGATCAGAAACAGTAAAAACAAGAATAGGAAATCAAAGAGAACAGAAAAAAATTAAATAAACACACCAACTTCAGAAATCAATCTTATCTTTAAGAAAAACACTCGACGAGAGATTTTCACCCGTTAAGCGGGAACGTTCTTTCCTACCCAGAAACGATGCCACACTAAAGCAGCTCTCACTTGGTACAGATGTGGCTGGTGTACTTAACATTTGTTTTGCTAATTTTGCCAAAGCGGGAAAATTTTGACCATAGGTTTGCCAAAATAATGTTGATGATGCAGTATCCGGTTTATACTTTAAATTAAATTGAGAAACATATTTTCGATAATTTTGAATATCATCAATAAAAGTTGCTCTTCTATTTACATCATGTCGATTTTCTACAAAAATATTCTCGCCGATGGATTCATTAAATATATCCATAGCACTTTTATTCGAATTCTCATTTAAAACTGATTTATTTGATGAGTTGGTGGTTGTTGTACTAATTGGTAATGTGATTGATACCGATCCTGATGAATCAGAAACTTTATCAATAATCATTCTTTTGATGATCTGTTCGATTGAATGTTTTTCGGAATCGATGAGAGTTGAAAATCCTGCCGGATCAAAGTACGAATGCAACTATAAGTATCAGATTATAATTTAATTAAAATTTCTGAAGTTACTAATTGGTTTTTGTAAGTATTTATAGTAAATCAACGATTCATCTGAACGAAATGAGATTTTCATTGGAAATTTCCTAAAGAATTTACATGTTTATTTGAATCGAAACCTGTATCGCTCTTTATTTTGAAGGATTAATACATCATTAGCCTATTGTGAGCTCAGATGACCACATATTTTTGTTACTTATTGAAAAAAAGAGTAAAACTTGATTATGAAAAAGACATTGCTCAAAATCTTTTTTTCATTGAAAATTACATACCCAAGAAAATCCGAACAAAAATGAGCAACATTACTACTTATCGTATCACTTACTTTTAATAGTTGTAATTGATCATCATCACTTTCAAAATAATACATAAATTTTTCTAATAATAAATGTTTTAGCCGCTTTACCATTAAATTTTCTTTTCTTTCATGTTGCTGTAAGAACATTTTCAGACGCACAAGTAAATAAAAACCAATTCCAATTGATGGATATTGACGACCGGATAGTGCTTTAGTTGCATGAAAAAATGGTTTAAGTATTGAATGAAGTGTTGATAATAAATTCCAATTATCACTAGTCAATTCAAAATCAGTTAATTTCCGAAGTTCCTCCAGTTTTATATGCAAATGATGCTTGAAATTGAACAATTTTTCAATTAGTTCACGAAGAACTAAAAATGAATCAATCATGCAATAAGTACTGTTCCAACGTGACTTCACATCATAACATAAATTTCTTTTGATTTTTAATTTTTTCCGTTCGTTATCAAAGAATAATGTGATAATCGTTGATCGTTTGATTATTTTGACTAATCCACGACATTTCTTAACCAAGGATATTATCATATCTTGATCATAAACATTATCAGACTTAGATTCAACAACATCTGCTGTCCAGTTATCCATAATTTCTTCCTCGATTATATCGGATAATAGCTCTGCTTCATCATTTAATTCGCTTGCTCCCATTGATTCATGATTATTCAATTCCAAATCATTGGTAATGTCCATATTCATTTCATCAATTTCATCCTCATTTGCAAATCGTTCACCAATTGTCATTTCTTCTACTTGATCATTCGGTTCATAATTCAAATCTTTCAAAAAAAAAAAAGAAAAGAAAAATGCTATAAATTCATTAAAAACTTGCTCAGTGATAGGCTTATATTTTGAATCGAAAGTCTAAATGACGGATATATTTCTCTATTAGACATGTTACAAGAAATCAATGGGAAAATGCTGATGGAGTGCAGATATGTATAATCATAATTTTCAGTTAATCTCTGGCAACTCGTAGATTCCGGAAATAAAATAGAATTTTATATTCTCTTCAGTAAAGCAATTATATGAGAATTAAAATGATTTCATAGCATTGTAGTTTTAGTTCTCACTCTGTGTTTATTGCGTTTGGTCCATTCAATTCACTTTTATTCAAACTATTAGGGATTAAAAAATCGTGAAAGGCTGTGGTTACCTTGCTCTTCCATCAATATGTTTTGTTCAGTATCTTCTTTCTTCGCGATCCAAAAGCCAAAGGCATTTATAATTGTAAGATGAAGCCGATGTGCAACACACCAAATGCGTTTCAAATTTAAATTCATATCACCAATGGCACGTACCACGTTGTTGGCACCATCCGCTGTCACACGAACAACCTTGTGTAGAATATTGAGTTCCTTTAACTTTGCTTGTAATATTCGAGTAATTTCGTTAGATATGTGTTGATTATCGAACGTGGAGAAATTTAAAACAGTAGATTTTAAATGAAAACTGTTTGTTTCGAAATAATGACCGGTAATAACAAAAAAACATCGCATTTGTCGATTACTCCAAAAATCGATCGTAATTGAAATATGATCAATAAGTGTTAAATCATCAATTAATTTTTGATGATAAAACATATGAAGTTGTTTGAGGCGACGAGCCACTACATATCGGTTTGGAGGATCATATCCTATATGAAAAAAAAAACAGATGCAATAATAAATGAGACAGTGTAATCCTTTAGTGTATTATTCTGTACTATTGATTGTCGATTAAAATAGTATCCGATAAAAAGACGTGTTTTAAATCAGGAAAAAAGCTTTTGCCAGATATATCTTAGCTGAAAGTTCTAAATATTCAGCAAGCTCAGTGACTTGAAACTGTCGTTTTGATATCTTACAGGAAAGAAAATTTATCCGTATCACACGGATGGGAAATTTATTTATAATTCATCTGCTTCTTAAAAGTATTTCAATCTTTTGCATCCTCATAGTTTATACTTATGTCATCCAAGTTTACCAGAATACTCAAATAAATACTTTTGTGTCATATATTGTTGGTGTTAAAACTAATCAAATACACATTAGTTGCTTATATAAATAAACTTACCAGGAATTAATTCTTGTAAAAATTTTTTCATGCCGGGTTTTTGAAGATCACTGAATGTCCTTCCGTCGCGTATAATACACACGATAGCTAGATTATGTAATTCTTTTTTTCTGTTAACACTGATTGATGATGCTGTACTTGTACGTTTGCTATTTGGTAATGCTAACTCATATATATGATGTTTTGCGATTAAATGTTTACGTAAAGTGGATGTTGATCCATTATGTGTTGATATTTGTTTATTATCTGGACACAAACAACATGTAGAATAATTTGAATTAGGACAACGGATAGCATATTGCCACACTAGTGATGTATGTGGCATTGTTATTTTTTCTGTTGTGGCAGATAAAACGTTCTCCTCTGAGGTTAAAATAGCTTTATTTTGTGCAGCTTTATTCTTCTTGTTATCTTTAAATCTAGATTTTTTTTTGCTGTCGTTATTGTTCTGATGATTAACAAAACAAACTTCAACTAATCCGGAGCTTGCATTGTTTTCATGTCCGGTACCAAATGATAATGTATTTTTTCGATCTGAATCTGTATTAATATTTCGATTATTTGATTTATCATTAATTGCGTGATCTGTAAGGGCTGTTAATATTGATTGGGAAGTCATACTATTCTTGTATTGTCGTACATAAATGTCGAATATGTAGGAAATTGCTATATAACGATTTACAACTTTTTTAATGAATGTTATAAAAGGTAAGATACAACGAATTGACTAAAAGATAGTAAACGAAATAAATGCGAATAACTTAATAAAATAAAATTGTATAAGTAGTGTACTAGGAATATTTTTCAAGATGAAAAACTCCGATTAGGTACACAACGGGATTGATTTTCAAAATATCGTTTGGAAATATGCAAACAGTACCTAAAAAAAAAGCGATAATCTGATAATAACAAATGAATCAACATTATCACTAAATTTCATGGAAGAGTTGTCGTGTTCGAACATTGATGCATACTATACTTTGTTACGGTAGACACATGATATTTATGGAATCTAACATGTTTCTTAAATACAAATTGGTATTCGAACTAAGAAAATGTGATGGCCCATATAGAATGAAAACATCACACGTTACTTTGACTGCATGAATACACGTCCCTTTACGGATAATAAATTTTAATGTGAAAATAAGAGATATTTATACTCAACGATGCAGAAAGGAAAAAATTCGCGCTCTTTCGTCTCTGTCTTCAACTACGTAATACGATATATCGGACGAGCGGAGCGAATAAGGACGAAAAAAAAAAGAGACAGTTCCGTTATTTTCTCTTTTTAAACTGCGTAAGACGATCGTCGAATAAAACGATGGAAAGGCGACGTCGAGTGTATTCATTCTTAATGTTCAGCTGTGTATGCGACAGTTAATGAAAGTGAAAAATTGAATCAAGAAAGTATAGGTTGAACCGAAGAAAGACAGTGAAACGAAAGAATATAAGAACAAGCAATGAAATATAATAGGCGGAAAACGAGGTACATCATGTAGTGATAACCGAAGAATACCTTCCTCATTCTCTAACAGAGGTCAATATTGAACAAAGTCAGCTGTAAAAGAAACATCTGTTGATAAATTATAGAGCTGTTATGCTCTCATCCAATGAAAACAATCTGCGTATCGCAATACTTCATCAAAAGATGTCGTGTTGCTCTCTGTGTAAATTACAATTACTAATAGTTAGGACTCGTGCCACAGTGCTTCACGGAACACATATGTCTGTGAGATCATGTGCCCGATGGTATCAGTGTCACTGAGTGTCTCAGTGCTTTAGTGCACACTGGTATCAGTAGCATCAGTGACTCAGTGAACGTGAGTGTCAGTGCTATCCCAATTCCAGTGAACACTGACACTGAAACCATCGGTGTTCACCGAGCGTCAGCATCAATGACGTCGGTGTTCAGTAAACCGACACTGCACATCCCTATTAAAGCATGAGCAAATCTGTATATGGAAAAAATTCAAAGATATATCACGTTTCTATTTTTAGAAAATAGCCAACGGGAACAGTCTCATGTTACAAAATAGCGTAGAATTTCTATTTGTCAATTTTTACGCTAACAAAACAGTGGATGATGAAAAACAGGTTTGGACGAAGATGAAAATATTCAGTTGTACCGTGTCACTCACGAAAAACTATGATATCGTGTATCAAGGTTTATATATATACAAGTTTCTTGGATATTGTCAAGCCCGTCAACTCGCTTTTAATATACTACTATTATCACGTACAGGGTTAACGTGCACACAGTAGTAGCTAATTTATCCCATTGTTACCAAAATATAAATCTAGCTTTGTTTTTCAAAATAATCAAAAGCTTTCTCTTAACTCTGTAAATATAATGATCATATAGATCATACTTCTTCAATAAGAGGGCTGCCCTGACCCACAGGGCTTCGGGGTGTGACCCCACTAAAAATTGGAACTTTCTTGATTTCAATGAACAAAAATATCGTTTACAAATAGATTTGGTCAATATTTAACGTCGGTAGAAAGAACTAGTTGGGAAGAAGGCATGTTGCTTGGTGTTGATTAAATCAACTCTTTTACTTCTCCTCCTAATAATTTCCACAGTTGCATAGTCACGAGTGATCTTACTTGATTATCATGATGACTTTTCTGTTTCGACTATGACCTTCACGGTCTCCTTTAAAAAAGGGCTTATTACAACTTATCGAGAGATATAAATCTACCTGAAACCCTGAAGAGTACTATATTATGAAAGATACGAAAACGTCGCCTATATCATAACTCTGCATTATTTCTTATCATTGTTCTTGAATATTACAAGCGAATTAAATGCTACATTCGACTATTTTTATCGGTTGGTAAAAAGCAAAAGCTAAGATCGAGAATATTGATTTGTCATTCAGTTAGAAGATATGTAGGCCTGTTAACAAATTAAATTAATTTCCTCAACTTATTTTTGAAAAATTTTGAATTAAAATGTAGTTATAGATTGATAACATGCCTGATGAATTCCTTACGCAAGGAGAAAACACGTCGTGTGATGACTTTCAATCGAAAATATCGTTTTTAAGTTCTATTACTGATATACACATAATTTCTGTATCTATACATCTTTATTTCAAAGGTCATATATTTATTTGAACTTATTATATTCCTATGTAAATATGTCGCAGAACCACAATAGAGTTCGATCATAGCATTGATATAGAACTGATTCCGCGTTGGATCAAACTAGGCATCTAATCCATCAAATGAGACCTTAAACGGAATTGAAACTCTACATGGTGCATCCAATACCTTTCAAAATGAATATAACGACACTAGAATTATTTCATACCGTAATTATTGGAACTCAGTCTTTTGAGATTTATTGAGATCTATTAATAAGGCCCTAAGAAAATTAAGATATATCGTATCGGGTTCCTGGTTGAATAGAAGAGTGACAGTTAAGGTATGCATATGGATCTGAGTGAGAGTGTACAATGCACTGACAACAACACGGGTCTATATATACTGAAGTAATATCACAATTAATAAAAGAAGGAGAACATAATTGAATCCACGAGAAGCAGTTAACCCGCAAAGAACAAATCCCAACAATCCCTCAAGATATATAAACACTAAACTTACCAAATGAACTGATGTTTGTTGAAGTTTGTGGTAATGTCGTAAATGTGCTTTCTTATATTTAATCTAAAGTTTGACAAAACAAAGACACATATTTTAAGTAAAAAACTAACATTATTATAGTCTTTGTAATTTCGTCAGAAAGAAATTTCATTTGGTAGCAGGAAAGATCGATATTGCCACTAATGTTGTGCAATTATGGATATCTATCAGCATTTTTCATTCAACAATGAATGATTGAAGTCAAGTTAAACTAAGTGAACATATAGTTTACTCATCTACACTTGCTCTTACGCCGATTAGCAAGAAAAAAAAATCTGAAAATGGAATAAATTACTCTTAGCGAAACCGAAACAGTGCTAGCGACGATCCTAAAATATTTTTCGTACTTCTTATTAATGAAATTTTTTAGGCACTGTTGTAGGAAATAGTAGTCAACAGCGAAGCGCTTTATATCCTAAAATGTGATACCATTCCTTGGATGGAAGAAATGGAAATAGTTTAGGAGAGTTACTTTGGCGAATAAAAAACAACTGCAACAAGTAGCCTAAAAGGAATGAACGTATGAATTTTTATTTACTAATTTTCGTCTATATAGTAAAGCTATAGTGAAAACTATCGTAACTATTTGTGTTCTGTGTGATAGATGAAAGTTACTTTTTTGACAACAGTCTTAACTTTCTAAACGTATGTGCATTTCTTATGTAGAGACGAAATAAAATAAATGTCAATCACATCGAATCACTTTACTTTTATCATAGCGAAGAATAAGTCTTCATTATGCTTAATATTATGACAAATTGCAATCAGAAGCTTGTTTCAAGATGTCCGAATGACTACGATAAAGGCTAAAGTTTAAAAAGAAACAAACTATTGAGAATTTTCGTTTTTAATTTATCGAAGCTCAACAGTTACCAAAATGTATTCCCATTGGAATGTATGAGGACTTTTCAATAAGTTTCCTGTGTGTTTAGACAAACACATACAGTTCTTTCATAGGAATTATATAGAATAAGTTCTCAATGAATAAATAAGCTTCTCATAAGTTTTGGTACCTCACCCTCAACTCATGATCATGGGTCCCATGTAGAATCCAAAAAAGAAAATCTATACCTACACTAATATTTTACAAGAGCAGAGAAGAAACTTAAATTTCAAATTGTTCGTGTCCCGAAGAAATGTAAACTGTTGTTGCAATCGTCGACTCTGGCATCAGCTACGAATACAAAGTTTATAGAGAGAGAGAGAGAAATTCTCTCACTGGAGAAAAATTAATAAAAAACAAATACTTTGAATTACTCATGTTTATGTTTACTCGGATGTCGTGGTATGACGCAGACTCCATATTTTTCGCTTAACAAAATCCTACATTGCGTATGCTGGAATTCTCCCGAGCTTCAATAAGAAACACAAATGAAAAACATAATCAATAATTTCTATTGATAGGCGCCAAGTAAATACATTAATATTAGTTGATTCATGATCGTGTCTACGGTTACCATCGATACTCAATAAAAGAAATGCAAACTGTTTGTGTAATCATTACCTTGCATCTCAGCAGCAAGCATGTAGAATGAATGAATAAGCATTCTGTAAGGCAAATAAATGAAAAAAAAAAGAACGAAATTACATTTACTTATAATCATATCCATTGCGAACATCGAAGGACAGAAGGGTACTTGATAAACATACATCGGGATTAACTGACTTTGGTGAGATATTTATCCACTGTTTAATTAAAATCATTCTAAAACTGCTGTCTAACTGCCAATTGTCTTCAGAAGGCTTCCCTATTTCATTGTAGAATTTTTGAAAACATAACAGTTTCATTTTCTAGGAATTGATTTAGTGAGTAGAATGACAAAAAATAGTTCCATACTAGTGCTATTTGTTCTACTAGTTTTATCTGATAAGAAATTAAGAATCAAGATGTTCGCCCTATGTCGAAATAGACAGATTGCTACAACGAAGTTTCTTATCCGAAGTCCAAACTCTGTAAGAATTGTGACA